ACTTATGTTCTCAGTTAGTGATATGCAAATGCATTTGTCTTTATTAGACTGGTTTGATCTATCAAAACCAAAGATAGTCATGTAGGGTTTGTGTTTGCTCAGCAGGTGCTTGCAAGAATAAGAGTAAAATTTGAAACAACTTGTTTTATCTGCTCAGTCTGTAAATAATATTCTAAATACTTGTAGTCAACAGAATTGGAAGTAGCTTTAGATTAATAATTCCTAGCCTTTATAGAGAATATTTCATTTTTAAATCTTACATGACAGAAATGATGTTTTTTTCAAGGTAAATCCATAGCTGAGAAGGTTAGGACCTAACAGTGTTTTAAGGGATGTCTTAGTGACTCACACAGTACATAACTAGGAAAAAATTCATAAGGTGAGATGTAGATTTTTCTTTTAACCTTTCACCGCTGAAGCACTAAGGATCACTATTCACAGGACAATCTTTTATTCTAATACATGAAAATTGCAGATTCTGTGGAGATATTTAATTAATAGCAGTGGCCATCATTGAAAACCAGCTTGCATTATGAATTATACCTGCACTGTGCTGTGTATATAATCCTTTCTTTGGACTGAGTTTCATTAGCATGCAACCTTCCATGCTGATTAACCTAGGGAAAAGAAGACAAATCATTAACTTCATGTTGGTAACATACAAAACACTTGTCTATACAAGGTAATACCCGAGGAACGAGACGCTGAGGGAAGGGAAGCATTAGCCGACATGATGCCATGCTGTCACCTACAGTGTCATCCAGCGAATTGTGGGGAGCCTGTTTATCCCTTCGGTAAATGATCTTTTTATTGAGCAGAAGGGCCAGGAGAACAGCAGAAAGGGACCATGGGAGCCACGGTTCCTGTTTATTGTTTCAGAGATCCCAAACCCAGCCTCAGGGCTTCCTTGCCTGGAGTCTTTTGCAGGGCTTGCACCTGGAGCAGGACTGCGGTACGACATTCACGTGCTTCAGAGGCACAACGCTGCACGGACTCCCTTGACCCTCTGCACAGTAGTTCTCTGCATCTAAAACAGTTACAGCAGTTGCTTACATTAAATACTAATAAATAGGAAAGCATCTATGATATTTACATAATAATGTAATTTACAAAATACAAAATTACAATGTAATTTACCTGCACTTAATGTAGCAGGTAAAAATAAAGAGTCCTTAAGCACCCCAGAGCTAGGTAATTACCTGTGGATTACTGTAAAGGCCTTGGCAAAAGGCACAATGTGGCTGTAAAGTAGAAATATTGTTTTGCCAGTACTTGATTCAGATGGCCAAGTCCAAACTCTCTCTCTACAATGTTTAGGAAGTTTCCACATGCAGGCGTCTAAGCAAGAGTGGACCCCAGAGTTATTGGGGATCGGGTAGTGCCTTCCCAACTATTTCCATGTTCCCAGGCACATGAAGCCCTCCAAGAAGCTTTTTTTCTGTTGTCATTTGCTATAAAAACTGCTAACATTTATCGATAGCAATGGAGTATAAAAGCCCTAAAAAGTACACATTCTCTACTGCCACGAATAATCTAACAAATTGGCGGAGCTATGTGGGAAACCTCAGCATGTTTGCCTAGGCTGGCTTGCACTGCAAATAGTCAGAAGTATTTGTGACAGAGACTTTTATTTTCTATGAAACAAACAAGCTGAAGTGCATTATATCGCACTCGGTCTGAAGAAATGTATATTCTGCTAGAGTTGGGCTGACAAATTTTTGCAGGTGTGTCTCTCCCCCACCCCGTGTCTGTGCGTGTGTCTGTTCCCCTCCTTGCTCTGTGTCCATGGGTGGGTCTCTGCCCCCCACCCGTGTCCCTGAGCGTGTCTCCCCCCCTCCTTGTCCATGGCTGTGTCTATTCCCCCATGTCCATGTCTCTACCCCCCCGTGTCCATTTGTCTGTCTCTTTGCCCCACTGTGTCTATCTGTCTCCCTCTTCCCTCCCCACGCTGTCCGTCTCTGTCTCCCCCACGCCTCCCCCCTACGTCTGTCTTTCCTGTCCACCCCCTTTACCCACACAAGTTTTTCCCCCCGCAGCACGCCGCCCGCATCCCCTGCCCTCCTATCTCGTGCCCCCCCTCCCCCCCCGTCCTCTTTCCCCCTC